AGACTGATGAATACTCTGTGTCACATAATTGATTGCATTAGTTTAAAGCTGACTTGTGTCTCCTTTGCTGGATGTGTGATGCTTTACCTGTGGTTGCAGGCTGATTGGGGTCCACGTTGCCATTGATACTCTTCCTCTTGGTCTCATCATCACCAGACTCTTCAGACTCGCCCTTTCTGTCCACTGCGGTCAGCAGACAAGGAGACACATAGCTCGATTACCCCATACAGATGCAAAGTTGTTTTATCAGTGACACATTTAGCTGACGCACGTGTAATGTAATGCCAAGACAAGGCCCAGCTCCAACTCGCCCACTGAGGACTCGAGGGAAGCTATGTAAAAACATCAAGCCATTCTCTGACTGTAGAAGAACATGCTTTTAAACCAGATCAAGTCTCTGTAACAATGCAAACATGCGTGCCAGACCACGAGGACACTTATCACGTATTAACACCATTGGATAATAACTACTGCTGTGGATTTGATCATAGTTGTATTTTCAACCTTACAAGTTAAGAAACGAACTCACAAGTCGAAGTTAGCTTACTCAAGTTAACACACAGGGGTAACACTGCTAACCAGGTTAGCTAGCTGGGTAGCTGATGGAGCACAGTAGGCAGTTTTACCAGCCAACATTGTTAACAATGTTTAGGCAGATAATCTGCGTTAAACATAACATCCCGTTTCAGTGGACCATAAGGCATGGCAAAGCAGCTATGCAACTATAATTAGATAATGACTAGCTGGACAGTGTGGGTAACAACGTCAGCTAACGAGGATTGTTGTTAGCATGTTAGCTAGCCAGCCAATGATGAAGGTGTATTTATTAACAATAAATAAAAAATCTCCCGATTTGCTCCTATAAAAACCGGTACCTTTGTCTTAATGAATGTATGTTCATCCAGGTTATACGATCATAATACGGCTGTATTTTTTATAAATGTACTCACCTTCCATCTCTTGAAGCTCTCCAACAGACCGGGAAGCCATGTTTCCTGTAAACACTCCTGACAACCGGTAAACCAATCAGGAGAAGGCTCATTCTGCGACCAGACACCAGGGGGCAATGTTGCCACACACTTGCTGTGTCCCAATTCAGCGGCCGCATCCTCCTGAGGATGCATTCGGAGACCGCATACGTCACTTCCGCCAAACGAAGGCTGTCCCAATAAAAAAAAAGACGACGCGTCACTGCGGTTCTCTATACTCCTCCGAATGCGGCCCGCAAATGCAGCCTTCTTTCCCCAGATTTAGAGGATACATCTGATGTACACTCCGAGGTGTACCATATCCCAGGATGCAACGGGTGACGGTGACGAATGAGTTTTTAAAAAATATATAAGCTTGTAACGTCCCATCAACGGCTACAACGGTTTCAGCTGGATTCGTTTTTAAATGTACTCACCCAAATAGTAAACGACATGAAAGAAAAGTAAATCTATTTAATTTGTGTATTTAAATATACGGGCAATTGGAGATGTCTTCTTTATATTACATACATAAAATAATATGAAGTGAAAATATTTTTAAACCCTGTTTGGTTTTCATATTGTTGGGATTCATTATAAAGCTAATTTATTTATTTAACTGCTTTTGTTATACAAATCTTACTGCAACAATTTTGTTTTGATAGGGAGCAAGGAGCAGACTGCGCAATTTATCCA